TATATAATTTATGAAAAAAATTATTTAAATTGGGATGCTTTAATTTTCTGTATTATTTTTCCAAATTTAAAATTTAAAGGAAATAATTCAAGGAAATTCGAAAAATCTACTCAAATCAGCTATAATAAATATTCAATAAGTACTCTACATCTTTTTTTGATAATACTTGCACTATGACATAAACAATTATTAACAAAAATACAAATGTTAGAAATTATCACCCATAGCTTTAATATTATAAGGTTTGTTTTTAGGTTTATTTATCATTTTCTCATCTAAATCATTCTTTAATTTAGATTTCATGGTTACCGGTTATTGAAATAGTTTGAGCAACTTATTTGTTCTATTTTTGGATCACTTTCAGCTTTCAAATTTTTTGAAGTAGGTTACAATATAAGAGATTATTTATTTCTAACCAATATAAAAATATAAATAATCAATATTTTTATATTAACTATATTTGATACTACAACTGAAAACATTAATTATGTATTATTATATAATTAAATAAGATTTTAATTAAATTTTGAAATTTAATGTTTATATAAGCAATATAATATTAAATAATTAGAAATAGGGATATGTGTAGACAATTGAGGATGAAAAAATTGATAATTTGAAATGGAAAAAATATGAAGAGTTTACATAGTCTAACCTTCAAAAACCAATTTATATTACTAAGAGATCATAAGTACTTATTGTATGCTGTAAATTATAGCATCAGGCTCATCTAAAATAGTAATAAAACAAAAAAAGATATTTTAGATAAAAAATTTGAATTTAATAAGAATGAATCAGTTTCAAATGAATAATGAATTATCTAACAATTTAGTGAGTAGGGTTCATGACAACTTAATTAAATAAATTTCTTTCTTTGAATTATCTGAGTTCCATGAGTTTTATTAGGAAAATTTAAAAAATAAGTGAAAAAACCTAAACCAACAAATGGTAATAGGCATGTATAAAAAAATGATGAATCAAAGAGAAAATAAGGATATGAAAATAATTAAATCCTGATTAATAACTGAAAATAATGATTCAATAATAATAATTAGTTTTGGATTTCAAAAGAATCATATTATAAATTATTTCGCTTATATTAGAAAGCAGATGAAAATTATATTTTTCAAATATGATTAAATTGAATTTATTTTATTTTATATACAAACCTAAATTCACCATTAATTTCTAATGTTAATAAAACATTTTATTTATTTGAATGACTGCAATTACAGTGTCTAGAGCTCTGACTGTTAATTTATTAAGGAATACCTTAATGAATAAATTAAGAAGTAAGTTTAACATTTATATGATGTAAATCATATCTGATATTTAATAAAAAAATTTTTGAATTTTTGATCAAAAAATATTTAATTATTTAAAATTAATTTTTTTCTAAATAAATGATTTGCCCTATGATTAAATTACTATAAATATAAATGAAAATAGAATTTGGAACAACAAACTCTTAAAGAGAACACTTAGAGATTTATCTGATTGAATTGAAGGATTAAAATATGATATATGATTGTTGTAATAATTTTTATTTCTTTTAATTATCAACTTTAAATAAGATTAATAAATAACTTAAAAATTAAATGTGTACCTGATTTTGTGATTTTATTCCTCTTAATTCCTTTAAGGCATCTTATTTTTTATTGGTTAATATATCATAATTGAATCCAAGCAAAACCCAAAAGAGTCATTTCTAAAACATTTTCATCTTTTTTTTAAATAAATTATTGAAGAAAAAGTAAATGTAATTATTGAAATTACCATTATTATAATATATTTTTTTATCTAATTAAATTCAACAAAAATCAATGCAATTAAGTAAATAATATACGTAGTAGTCAACTTTAATATTTGAATAGATTAATGATTTTGGAAACATATCCAGAAATAGCAAAATAACAATTATTTAAATAAGTAAATAGCCCTATATATTATTCAACTTATGATCCTTTTTTGAAAAGACATGTTTTAATGAGAATATAATAAAATACCTGAAGCTGACAAAGTCAAATAGGATAAGATATTTTGTATGTTCTAAATAATATCTTATTTAGAAGATGATGCTAAACATAAAAATGTTTTAAATAGTAAATCCCATGAATTTGCAAACAACAAATCCTTTGAATCATTTAATTGAATTTATATAAAAAAGTCAAGATGTAATGAAAAAAAATTAAAAATCCAATAGAGTATTTTTTAGGAATTTTGATTACTCTGAAGCTTAAAAAATATAATGTTTTAATTTTATAGATTAATCTAAAGCTGATTTTTAAATTATAAAATTTTAACTTATCATAAGGCTCAATAAATTATAAATATAGAAATCTTTAATAAAATCCATTAATTTATGAATAATCTAAAATTGGAATAATACTTATTAAATTAGTTGATTCAAAAAAATGTATAGATTTTCAGGATATATTATAGTAATGTAGTTTAGATAAGATTGATACTTTTTTCAACAATAATTTCAAAATTTCCAGAAATTAATACAATTACACTTCCTATCCCTTATGTTATATAGTCTTTTCAATATCTGATTGACTCATTTAAGAATATGTTTTAAGTAATATTTTCTCGGATGGATTAAGTAATTCCATTTCATTTGAATTATATACTTCATTCATAATTACTACATTAAACTAAACTAGGCTACTATTAGTAGAGATTAAGAGTTCAATTTATATTTGAAATGAAAAGTTTAGAAGTTAATTAATTACTGGTTCATAGTTTGATTCTAATTTTATTTAATAATCTTCATAGAGTGCTTCATCAATACTAAAATTAAAAAGAGATTCCAAAACATAATTATTTCTAAATTAGATTGCTTATGAGAATACAATTTCAAGATAATATTTATTATAAGTTTGATTTAAAAATTTGATTAGCATTTAAGGAGATTAAGAATATTGGCAATCAGAATAACTATTAGCTTTATCTTGACACTTATAATTAACTTCAATCTTACAATTAGAAGTACAACCATCAACATCAACAAGATTGCCATCATCACATTATTCATCATAAGATTTGATTCCACTACCACAGTCATCATAACATGCATTATTAATTAATTTAAAGTATTGCTAACACTCAATACAAATTCCTTCAAAACAATTTTCACAATATTGAGGACATGAAAATTCACAATTAAAGCATCCATCAAATTATATTTTATTTCCATCATCACATTACTCTTTTTATTATTTTATTCCATCACCACAAATTGAATAACAAATACCATCAATATTCATTTCTCCATTTGGACAGTTATCATAACAAATACCATTAATACATTTCTTACATCCATATCTACATGTTAATTAACATTAATAATTTATCTCAATATATGGTTAATCACAAATCAAACATGTTTAAGGATTTTTGCAATATTAACAATTTTCTGGACATAAAAACTTACAATTCAAACAATCATTTAAATTTGTATCACATTGTTCATAAGACCAAATTGCTATTTAATTATCTCCACAAATCTATAAGCATATCCCATTCATAAGTGACCAACCATCAATACAATATAAGCATTAAGAATTTAAACACTATAGACATTAAATTTGACAGCTATCATTACATTTATAGCATCCAATTTCAATTAGACTCAATTGTAGTTCATCTTTAAATAAAAGTGCTCCTTTTGTAATTTAAGTAATACATAAATTATTTAATAGAAAATAATCAACCAAACATTTTTTACATTTTCCGTATTCACAAATTTCACAATATTAGGGACATTAAAATACTATATTTTACTATTTAATTCCAGATATTTCAAGATTATATGTAATGTCATAATCATCACAATAAGTAACATCAGAAATCTGATTTTCATTTATATCTGATCTAATACAACTTATANAAAATGTTTTAAATAATAAATCCCATGAATTTGCAAGCAACAAATCCTTTGCACCATTTTAATTGAATTCATACAAAAAAGTCAAGATGTAATGAAAAAAATTATAAATCCAATAGAGTATTTTTATAAGGAATTTTGATTTAAGACTCCTTAGCTTAAAAATTAAAAAATGTTATGTTTAAATTTTATAGATTAATTTAAAGCTGATTTTGGAAATCGTTTGTATTGTTTTTACAAATATAAAAGTTGAAATTATTTAAATGAAAAAGAATTATAAATTAGTGATTAAATGGGCATTTAAATTATAAAATTTTAATTTAGCATAAGACTCAATAAATTCTAAATACAGAAATCTTTAATAAAATCCATTAATTTATAAATAATCTAAAATTGGAATAATACTTATTAAATTAGTTGATTCAAAAAAAAGGTATAGGTTTTCAGGATATATAATATTGATGTATTTTAAATAAGATTGATACTGTAAGTTGTCTAAGATTTCAACAAAAATTTCAAAATTTCCAGAAATTAATACAATTACACTTCCTATCCCTTATGCTATAATCATCGCTTCTTAATATTGAGTGAGTTATTTAGTCTTTTCAATATCTGATTGACTCATTTAAGAATATGTTTTAAGTAATATTTTCTCGGATGGATTAAGTAATTCCATATCATTTGAATTATATACTTTATTCATAATAGCTACATTACACTAGACTAGGCTACTATTAGTAGAGAATAAGAGTTCAATTTATATTTGAAATGAAAAGTTTAGAATTTTATCGAATACTGGTTGATTCTAATTTAATTTAATAATCTTCATTGAGTGCTTCATCAACACAATTTCAAGATAATATTTAATATAAGTTTGATTTCAAAATTTGATTAGCATTTAAGGAGATTAAAAATATTGGCAATCAGTATAACTATACACTTTATCTTGGCACATATAATCAACTTCAATCTTACAATTAGAAGTAAAACCATTAACGCCAATAAGATTACTATCATCACATTATTCATTGTAAGATTTGATTCCATTAAGACAGTCATCATAACATGCATTATTAATCAATATCAAGTATTGCTAACACTCAATAAAAATTCCTTAAAACATCTTATTTTATTAATGATTTATTTCAACATATGGTTAATCACAAATCAAGCATGCTTAAGGAGTTTTGCAATATTAACAATTTTGTATAAATAAAAACTTACAATTCAAACAATCATTTAAATTTGTATCTAATTGTTCTTAAGACCAAATTACTATTTAATTATCTCCACAAATCTATAAGCATATTGAAATAAATATGTTATAGTCTATATTACACAACCTTCTAAACATCATTCTTATTTACCAAATTCTCATCAATAGATGATATTAAATTTATTGGACCTTGAAGAATTATTGATAATTCACTGATATCTACTGTGCCATCTACACTATATATTTCTAATTTAATTTAATTTAATTTTTTGTATAATCTAATTACCATGTCCTATAATCCACATACCTGTTATTACTGATAAGTCCACATTTATATTAGTCATTTATAACAATAATCACTGTTATTTGTAAAACGGATATATATTCAATTCTAAATTGAATAATTAAAGATTAATGATCTGGTAATGTAAGATAATTTATTGCAGAATTATATTAATTTATACAAGCATATTCGATTAAACTATAATATTTAATAATTTTACCATCATTTCTTGAGTATGTAGAAAATGGAAATTTATTTTTAATCCAACCTTCTAAATTAAAAAATGATTGCCACAATTTCCACATGATACAATCAACTGTTGAATATAAACAGAATTGACATCCTTAATAACATTCATTTAATGTAATCTCAAAATTAGTAAGACCCAAAAAGTTCTTAAATTATTAACACTATAAAATACATATGTAATCGAAATCATTATATTATGAAGTACTATAGTCTGTACCAGAGCCACCTTAATTTGATCCTGTATTAGAATTAAAATACCAAGAATGAGTCCATTAATTAATAATTATGTGCAATATCCCAATATCTAATATTCTCCAAATATAGTTTCTACTCCATTAATATATGTATGACTAAATGCTCCATTATAGGGATTTTGATTAATCAACCTAAATCAATGATTAGATATTGACATTCATCATCAGTGTTCGATGGAATAACAAAATGGTAAGGAGAGTACTCTTCAACAATTATTCTTAAAAATTGAAAAAGGAGGTAATGAATAAACAGTATTACTATTGATTTGTTTAATTTAATAAAAACAGTTGAATTTCTATTGTTGTAAGAAAATTTTAAATTATCAATTATTCATGCCATTATAAACTGAAATATTATATTTATATATTATTCCATTTTAGGATCTATGGCTTTATCCGCCTTTGATTTAGTTAGTTTTCTTAAATTTAGTTAATTTTGTTAATTCATCATATTTAAAATATTTCATTCTATTAATTCCAGAATCTACATTATCGACAAAAAATGCAATT